TTATAGGAAAACGGCAAAAGATATAAAAAGCCAATTCATTAAGAGCAATATAAAAAGTTTTCTTAAGCATATAAAAAGATACCTAACTTTACTTCTAATAAGATAAATGCAAATGAATACTGCATAGAAATACAATAGCTCACCCATAGGATGGGCAAGAATTTAAAAGTTTGTCAATATACTCTGTCGGTTCAGGAATGGGAGAAAATGGCCACTATACATTGCTGGTAAAAATGAGAAAATATAACCTTTTTGTAGTTCATTGTGTAACTGCAAAATATTAGAAATTACATAAATATACAAACATAGGAGATTGGCTGAAAAAAATTGATGGCACATGCATAATGGAGTATATCCAGCTGTAAAATAGAATGAAAGATGCAAATTAATTGTAATTGTATGTAAGTTAACCCTTGAACAACATGGAAATTAGGGGCATTGACCCCCTACACAATCAAAAATCTGTGAATAACTTTTGACTCTCCATAAATTAAACTACAGTCAGCCCTCAGTATCCATGGGGTACTGGTTTCAAGACCCCCTGCAAATACCAAAATACCCAAATCTGCGGAACTGAAGTTCCTTATTTAAAGGAACAGTGCATGCAGTCAGTCGGCCCTCTGCATCCATGAACTCCCAATGGCGGGTTGAAATATGGTGTTTTGACCAACCATTGGTTGACTCTATTGATATAAAACCCACAGATATGGAGAGCCATCTGAATTTATTGGAAAAAATCCAGGTATAATTGGACCCATGAAGTTCAAATCTGTGTTCTTCAACAATCAGCTGTACTGACAATTAAAAATTGGAAATTTAAAAAATAGTACTGTTTACAAGAGCAATGATACCTATATAATATTTAGAGATAAATTGAACCAAAAATATAAAGGATTTATATGCTGAAATCTTCAAAACTTTGATGACAAAAGTTGAAGAGCTACTCAATAAATGGCAAGATGTGCAATGTTCATGGATTGGAAGACTCAGTATATTTAAGATGTCAAACTTTCCCCAAATTGATAAAAAGATTTAATGTAATCCCAATCAAAATCTTAGGAAGACTTTTTGTAGAAATCAAGAAACTGATAGTAAAATATATATGGGGAGACAAAGGATGTAGAATAGCTAAAACAGTTTTGAAAAGATTAAAATCATAGCCATGCTACTAAGCTACAATGATCAAGGCAGTGGATTTTGGTGAAAGGACAGATACATAGAGAGGAGCACAAGAAAAGACAAACCAGAAACAGGGCCACCCATAGTGGTTAGCTGGTTTTTAACAGAAGTACCAGCGAAATACAAGAATGACACACTTTTTAACTAATAGTACTGGATCAATTGTTCATCTATGTAAAAAACAACAACACACTTAATCCATAGCACACACCATAAATAAAAATTATCTCAAAATGGATTACAGGACTAAATGTAAAACTGAAACCAATAAAACTTCTAGATGGAAATACAGGAGAAACGCATTGTGACACGGGTTAGGCAGAGATTTCTTAAGACAGAAAAAAAACAAGAAACATTTGACAAATTGCACTTTCATCAAAATGAAGATTTCTGCTCTTTCTAAAGACTACTAAGAAACTGGAAAGGGAAGCCACAGATTTGGGGGAAAAATAGTCTCAAAACACACATTTAAAAAAATGAATGGTGTCCAAAATATACAAAGAACTTTCACAACTCAATTTAAAAAGCAATGCCATTTTAAAAATGGGAGAGAGGACCAGCATGTGCTCAGAGATGTAGAGAAGGGGAAATGAGATTGCTCCCCTCCGACAACAACATAAAAAAGGGACTTACTGAAAGTTAATGACTCTGCTTAAATTTTCAAATATCTCAGTTGCAGGGCAAGTGTCTTGCTCAAAATTTGAAGAAACGAGCTGAGTATTTGCTCATCTCAAACAGATGCTGTCAAACACCAATTAAGATGGTCAGAAGATTAAACTTGAAATTGTTAATCAAATAACAAGATCTGGGCATAGACCAGTGAGAGAGAGAGAACACTTGGGAACCACAAATATAGGGTATAGGGTATTCTCCACTATCTTTTAAGCTTTTATCCCAAGAAGCCTACAAGATTCTTGCCAAGAAGATCAAGGAGAATCTGGAGAAAGCTCCCCCGTGGTGCTGGCTGCAGGAGGGGGACAGCTACTGCTGAAATCCAGCCAGGCCTAATCCACTCCATCTCCACTGTAGAAAAACACACACAAAAGCAACAACAACAAAGGCAATCTGCAGGGGAAGGCACCGGTGGAATCCCATTGCTTTCCAGGCAGTACAGCCAAAACGTTGCCCAGAACCATCTGCCCTAACTCCACCAAGTAACAAGTTTTCATCTGTAGAAGAATGAGCTTCAACACTTTGGCCAGAAGAGGGTGGAGACCCACTGTGGCTGGGGGAGGGGAGTGGGGGTAAGAACTGTGCTGCCTCTGGAAGACGGGCAGGAACACTTGTGAAAGCCACATTGTTAAGACCCAGTTTTACTGCACCTGCTTCCCACGGAGTCAGAGGACATCTGCTTCCCTCCCCTCTCGCCAGCAGGCTAGACACCTTGAAGAAAAGTAACTGTGATGCACCTAAGGGGCTTCAAGAGACTTCCTCTGGGGAGCAGAACAAAGGGAAGACTCAATGCCAAGGAAGAAGACAAAAACAAAGTATGACCAGACACACTGTAGACCTCTGAACCCTGAAAACAGCAAACTCCAGTCCTGATAACCTAACGAACTTCAACCCGGTATAACTCCTGACTAGAATAACACAAATCCCCACACTAAAGGCCTAGCAGAAGGAAAGGCGTGCTCATTTCCAAGCATAACATATATTTACCTCAGTCTCTACTGTACCATACAGGTCCATCTTTCAACCAAAGATTCCAGAGCCATACAAAAGGCAAGAAGAAACACAGTCCAAAGACGCAAAGCAACCATTCGAACCAGGCTGAGACAGGACAAAGGTGCTGGAACTAACTAACTAACTAACTAACTAACTAACACAGGGAATTTGAAGTCAGTATGATTAATATGTCAATGGCTCTAATGGAAAGGGTAAAACAACATGCAATATCAGATAGGCAATTTCAGCCGAGACATAAAAATTATTTAAAAAAACAACAACAAATGGTCAAAGGAAATGCAAGAAATTAAAAGCACAGTACCAGAAAGGAAGAATGCCTTGGCAGTCCTCATCAGGAGACTCAGCTGAGATTGGGAAAGAATTTGGTGACAAGAGGATAGGCCACTAGAAATCCCCCCAAATGCAATGCAAAGAGGTGAGGTAGAGATAGAGATGGAGCACATAGTCATAAATCATGAAACTGCAGAACTGTGGACAATACCCAGTT